TGGGTTTGATTCCTGGCACATATGGGATCTCTTAAGTCCTACCCAAGAGTGATCCCTAATTGAGAACCAGGAATAAACTCTGAGCACTGCTAACCAGGTGTGACCCTAAAACAAAACAAACAAAATTTTAATTTATATAAAATTAAATTAAGTAGGTATTGCTTGGATTTAATACACTAATAAACAAAATACATAACACCATGCCTAACACTCAGTTAGTTACTCATACTTCCTATAAAGTGAGATACACAGAGATCATACATATATTTAAATATTTAAGTCATGATAAAACATTATTCATCTCATACTTGACATACAGAGAATCTACCAGTGAGAATAATATAAATATACTTTACAAAGACAGTGAAAGAGAAAAATATATATATAATGAACAATTAGTATATTCATAGTATGTACAAAAATTGTGAAATTTAAAAGGAACAAATTTCTTCATTTAAATATTTCAGTAATTTGAAAGCCCTATGAATCATGGTGGAAAGCAAGACAACTGGTTGCTTTCTACCAAGGCACACACACATGTTTCACTCTTGTATGCTTGTAAGAAAATTGTAGTTGTTTCTTTACTATAAAGAAATAAAGCTGCTTTCAAATAGGGAGTAACACTGTCGTCCCGTTGTTCATCAATTAGTGGACACAAATAGGTAAATAGTGAAAATTAATCTGACTTGCAATTGTAATGAAAATACTTCTCATGGTAAACTATAAGATGCCCTCTAATAAGCCCCATTTCCCAGATCTTGGTGCCCAATTGCTTGTTTATCTCCATTTGAGTGGCAGCGTGATTTCTGACTAGCTTCTAGCCAATATACAATGTGGTGATGGTGAAGGAATTCTGCAGCTGTAATTAAAGCCCTAAATAAGTTGATCTTAAATTAATTTAAAAAAACATTATTTTAGGTGTATATGAGTTACTCAGTTGAATTATTTTTTAAAATAGAAGTAATCCTTTCTGAGGTTTGAGTCTTTCGCAGGCCTGAAGAAGCAAACTACACATTTTGAGAAGCCAATGAAAAGGGTCCTATGATAAGAAACAACCCCTTAGGAATTCAGCACAATCCTCTTCAATGCAGGTTGTATGGATCCACAAACATATGAATACTGAAAAAATGTTGGAAGTATATCTTCATTTAGTTGAATCTCTGATAAGAACCAAACTCCAACCAACATCTCGTTTGAAGCAAGAACCACGTTAAGATGTGCCCATAGGGGATGCAGGGTAGTATAGAAGGTAGGGGAGCCTGTCTTTTATGCTACTGACCCAGATTCAATGTCTGGCACCTCTCCAAGCCCTGCCTGGAAATATTCCTGAGAGCATACTCAGGAGTAAGCCTTAACAAAGCCAGGTATGGTCACCCCCACCAAAAAAACAAATAACAAACAAGCAAAAATGTGCCTATAGGTCTGAGCTACAGAAAAAAATATAATAAATTTGTGTCATTTTAAAACCACTGAGGCTGTGCTATCTTGTTAGGCAACATAAATACTTAACATATGTTTATAGACAGGAAAATTCTGATTTTAGACCATAGAAAGATAATACAATAATAAATGATGGCATAGTTTTGTGTACTATGATAACTCACTCCATTCTGAAAATGACTCAAGTAGACAACAGAAGACAAAATGAAATAGCAGTCAGCATATGAAGTTTCCTATATAAAGAAATGATCCTTGTTAAGATATGTCTATAGGGGTTGCAGTGGTAGTAGAGCAAGTAGGGGAGTTTGCCTTGCATGCTACTGACCCAAGTTCAGTCCCTGACACCTTCCCCAACCCCTGCCGGGAGTGATTCCTGAGAGTAGAGTCAGGAGTAAACCCTAGCAAAGCCAAGTATGGTAACCTCACTCAAACAAAGTGATATGACAGTCTGCATATTAAGTTTTCTGTGTAAAGAAATGATCAAGTTGAGAATAAAAGACTGTTAGAGCGATCGCTGTTTTTAGATGTATCATCTACTATTTCATTGAAAGAAATTATAGTTAATTATGGAGAGTATCCTTAACTGGAGAGTTTGGTACTGGAGGAAGAGATAGTTTTAGTATTTTTCCACCATAACACAACAGTTCATAAAGATAACTTTTAGATATTATCTAAGAAACATGGTAGGTATATTTTAGAGAGACATTTATTGAGAGAGAGAGAGAGAGAAAGAGAGAGAGAGAGAGAGAGAGAGAGAGAGAGAGAAGTTCATGGTTACTGTGTGTCAGTACCTTGGTATGAGGGAAAGGATTAAAAAGTACTTTGGGGCATCACAGTTTTTTGCAGTTTTTGAGAAAACAGTGGGAATTGGGTCTCTGGAAGGAAAAGGAAGCCAAAATTGTATGCAGTTCAATGGAAAGGAGTAACAAGGGCATACTTGGGCTGTTCAATGAAACTAGGGGTCAGAGTGACAGGACACTGTTGAATCCTCTTTAAATTTATATATTGGACATAAAAATTTAAAAAGGCCCTCCCGTTGTTCATCAATTTGCTCGAGCAGGCCGAGTAACGTCTCCATTGGAGATCTCCGAGAGAGGCGGAGGAATCGAACTTGGGTCGGCCATGTAGGCTGCGTGCAAGGCAAATGCCCTACTGCTGTGCTATCGCTTCAGCCCTTGTGCTATCACTCCAGCCCTGGACATATAACTACTCCTTTTTTAGATCGATGTGGAATTTAACTAGTGAAATTTTAAACCATAATAGATGATATAATGAAGAGGTGTAAAAGTTTTCTTGAATTTTTACTTTTTGACAGTAAAAAAACTAAAGGCAAGAGCTGGGAAAATGACTTCTTTGCAGTAATTCAGTAAATCATTATTAGAGCTGGAGATAAAACTATATTACTTGATTCTCAATCCAATATTCATCCTGTGGGCTTTTATTTTAAGATTATCGGGCAGAAAAAAATAATAAATATTTAATAAAATACCTAACTGCTTAATACATATGTTTGCTCTAAAAAGTACTTTAACATCATAATTATGTGATATATATACACATACACACATGCACACAACCCAACTGTGTTTTATGTATCATACAGTCTAACCAATAGTTGAACGCTTTGGTTTAAAGACTGGGAAAGTGAAAGTCTACAGTATGTCAAAGCCCCTGACCCCACATTATCTCACAAAGAAAATTCAAAAAAATGACTCAGAGTCAAAGAATATAGTTTAGTGGTAGAGATATTGGACATGTATGAGGTCCTGGGTTTGATTCAGAGATAGAGAGAACTAAATTTTTTTAGTTCTTTGCTCAGCCTATTGTTTTATTTTGCCAGTATTTTTCTATTATTTATGACCCTTCAAATATTTGTAGAAATTCATACGTAGGCAGACTCTTCCAAGTATTCTCAATTTCTATTTCCCTGTTCTAAATTTTTGTGGTACTATATCATTCTTTAGTTCTTCAATCTACTTTCCCTCAGCTCACAAATCAAAATATTGCTGCCCCCTGTCTTATTCCTTCCAAACCTTTTGTCAAGTCATTACTTTCTAATCTCTGATGAAGTCATTATAAAGTTTAAAGGATTGTTATTATCCCTCCCAGAGACACATCCATCTTCAAAGCAATCATGAACATGTCATGTTTCAATTTCCTGAAATAATTCGCAATAACAGAAAGTTTTCATTTTGGGAAAGTAGAGGTTTTGGGACCACCATTAAAATCACTCAGGAATTTAGATAGCTTGAGTTACCAGAAACTTATTTCAAATGATAAATCAAAAAGAAAAGCACATGGCAGTAGCATCCTTGTAAATACCCCAAAGCCTGATATGTTTTAGACACATACTTTCTGGACCTTTCTATTTTAAGAGTATAACCCAAACTGCATCAAAAGTGACTGGAAAATCCCTTAACTTGACTATGGAAAATCCCACTGTATATGTTGTTTAAATTGCTTTATTGGTCTTTTACAAATTTAATAATATTTTTTTTTTCTTACTGGAACAACCCAGAACCTGAACAAACACATCTAAAATCCTTTGGTTCTTTTTAAACTCAACTCGCCTCACTTCTCACTTCTCTGTGCTTCTTTGCACCCCCCCTCCCTCCTCAGTTGCCATGTTCGACAACACTTCAAAGATGTGGCTAGTTTCATTTCTGGGCTTAGATTCTGTTTAAAGAAGAAGCTAAATTGGAATCAGTTTATCACCCTTGGCTAGGACATTTAATGGAATTTAAAACCAGAGAGGAACCCTAGCCACATCTAAAGTGATACCAAGTGTATCAGCTGGGTGCCTGATCTTCAAAGGAAGCTTTGGATATAACTCACTTGTCACTGCTAGCATTGCATCTTGAGCACAACTTCATGGATAGGCAGAGAAATTTTAGAAGTTTTCATTTTTATTTAAAAAGAAAGAAATCAACTAGGTCTATTGCCATATTATTCTTTGCACAATGACGCTTTTGCTAATGGAAAGAATTGAGTAAAGAAAGAAACACAAAGCCAATTATCTTAAAATTTATCTTCTCTAATTTATTTGGAATTAGGACAGCAGAGGTAGTACAAATCAACAAAGAATCTTTTAGAGCAGGTGGGAAAGAGAAAGGAGGAAATACCAAAGAGCTCTGTCACCTAATCAATAGTATTATGGCAGGAACAGTCAGCAGAAAGCAGAATAAAAGCAGAGTTTGGGCACTTTCCCCATATCTTCTTACTGGAACCCTGGTTTCAGTGTCTGCAAAACTTACATCTTATATTTAATAAATTCAATTCTTGTCCTGTAATCAGTGACTTGGGTATAATATGTTTTCCACTGGAAGTGTCATTATTTGTGTTAGAAGATGTTTTCACAATATGAGATGAATGTTGAATGATTGAATGTTGAGTGATGGAATGTTGAATGCTGTTTTGGAAAAATTCCCAAGACAGTAGTGTTAACAAAAACACAGCACCACAGCAGAATGAAGTAAGGGGACAGATTTGAGAACTCACATGCATTTCAGAATGACTGGTGAATAGAGGATGGAGACTAAGGTTACCTACAAATAAATGACGTTCTCGCTTCAGCAGCACATATACTAAAAATTGGAATGATACAGAGAAGATTACATGGCCCCTGCGCAAGGAAAAACAACAACAAAAATTCTAAGGGATCTTATTCAGTTTGATAGACTGAGTGATGTAACAGAGGAGGTAATCATATAACAAAGAGACTCAAAGACCATGGAAGTAATTTGATATTGCAGTTATCCAGAAGAAAATTAAAATTCGAGGACAATAGACAGAGTCAGGAGAGACCTGAAGTTGAAGCAGATTTCAGAAAAAAATCGAAGGATATTGTGATATAAAGAGTAGTGACTGTAGGTATGTATTCAAGGCTATGAGAAAATAAATCAGAGTGAAGTCTTGAACAGGGGAAATCAGCTATTTTAGAAATCTAAATCTAAAAATAAGATTATACAGAGATGATCCATTTATTTAAACCCAAAAATACAGGAGATGGTCCATTTATGTAATCAAAATCTGGCATAATTTTTGACCTGTTGGATGCACAATCACTATTAAGTTCTCTTCCTGTAGAAATTTGACCTGAGATATGTTTTTATTCTGTAAAGTTTTTAAAAAGTTATAGGAAAACAAGATTTTAGCTGGTGGACAGGAATACGTAAATACCACAACAGAACAGAGAACCAAGGCTTGTGGGTTTTTTTTATACATTTTATTTTTATAAAGTAGTTCACAATAGTTCATTATAGATAATATTCAAACACCCACCAAACCAGTGAGCATCTTCCCACCACAATAAAAGGGAAGTGTGCAAAGGTTGTTGTATTCCATTCTGGAGCCATTTAAGCCTGTATACACGTGTTCTACTTTAGATACTTCAGTGGGCTAGAGTGTAAGAGGTTGTGTGGCCACAAATGCAACCAGATGCTCCGGGAAACACTGCATCACTCTCTTTTCCGGGAGCTTTATTTTATCATCTCTGGCTCTTGGCTGTAGAGATTACAAGGTGCTGGGAGTGGGGCTGGAGCAGTTTGTGAGTATCACTGTCAATCTACTGGAAAACTGGGGATCTGGGCAGAGGAGGCCCAGTCCTGAACAGAGCAGGATTGGAGATCTCAGCCATGGGTCCTATATACCTGGGTTCCTCTGTCAGTTCCTTCATGGATGAGGCTCATTCAAATGTGTGGAGAGTGGCCTTGAGCATGAGTGTGGCTGGATTCTGGAGGTTTTCAGCTGCCGGGGCTCTGCTTAGGGTGGGGAGGAAAACTCGCCCATCCCCCTCCGAGGTGCAGGGCCTGTGTTAAAGGTAACACTAATTATAGTCAAGAGAGATAGAATTTAGCAACATTAATCATGAGAACAATTGTGAGAAAAACATGAACTCATGATGCTATAAGTAAAAGTAAAGTAAAGGCCCTCGCGTTGATCATCGATTTGCTGAGCAGGCCCAGTAACATCTCCATTGGAGACTTTGTTGTTACTGTGTCTGGCATATCGAATACGTCACGGGGAGCTTGCCAGGCTCTGCCATGCGGGCGAGATACTCTCGGTAGCTTGCCGGGCTCTCCAAGGGGAGCAGAGGACTCGAACTCGGGTCGGCCATGTTGGCTGCGTCTAAGGCAAACACCCTACAGCTGTGCTATCGCTTATGATGCTATCTTCCTGATAATTAGAACCTATGGTCCTTTTAGGTTGGTATATTAAGATAATGCTTTTTAGAAGTTTATCCTCATATATTTATATTACTGTGCTCTCCTTAGAAAAAAATTCTTGTTTAACCCAGTTAATGTATTTTTATTTGGGTCCATACCTTGTGGAGTTTAATCCTGGCTCTTTGCTCAGGAATCACACCTGGTGGGCCTTATGGGACCATATGGAGTGCCAGAAATAAAATTAGGGCTGATCTACATGCAAGGCAATCACCCTACCTGCGTATTATCTAGCCCCTCAACCCAGTTATATACGAAAGGTTCAATTAATTATTTCAACCACCAAGATCTTACATGAAAATGCTTGTTAACACTTTTTCTAGACTTTCATTTATGAAAGCTGCTGGTAAGAAGTTTTATTTAAGTGCCATTCAATATTTTGTTTTTGCCATTTTCAGTTTTAATGCCATACTAATGGTGCTCAGGGATCATCCTCACTGTGCGCAGGGGACCAAAGGCTGTATAGAAATGGATGGGTACGCTGCATGCAAGGCACATGTCTTACCTGCTATATTATCTCTGACCCAAAGAGTGATTCAGTAAAATATGCACTAATACTTGTGTTCTTACTATGAATGTTCTTACATTCATGTATGAATAAAGTCCCATGGAAACCAGGTAATGCGTACCTTTGTGACCTTGAAATCTGGACTCAGCAGGACCTGGGAACAGAGATCCTCTGCCTTCTTTGCCTAGTCTCCAATGACCCAGGCATCACACCCATAAGCCACAACCTGCTGGCACCAAATAATCTCATCAGACACCCTCCAGAAATCACAGCTGCTCCTCCCAGAAGGGTGTATAAAATGAGGTCCCAATAACCATGTTACCAGACTCCACACGAGGCTGTTTTCACTCATAGCACCACAGAGAGGAGCAGGTGAGAGCCCTCCCCAACCCAAGGGACCCATCCCCGGTAGCCGATCTCCACTACCCAACCACTACCATGCTCCAGCCCACTTTCCGGACCAGACGGTCGCAAAGCGTGACTCATTATAGGACACTTTCTACCCATTTTCCATAATTTACAAACCACATTTGATGGGGTTCAGACAATAGGCAACAAATCATAGAGAGAAATATAGAATGATATGCCTCTCAGACAGCCCGGCAAGCTACTGAGAGTATCCCGCCCACACAGGCAAAGCCTGGCAAGCTCCCTGTGGCATATTCAATATGCCAGAACCAGTAATGACAAGTCTAATTTCCATGACCCTGAAGGAGCCTCCAATGACTGGGAAAAGACTAGTAAGAAGATGCTACTAAAATCTCAGGGTTGGGAGAAATAGAGACATTGTTGGTGCCCACTTGAGTAAATTGACAAACAATGGGATGACAGTGACAGTGATACAGTGATTAAGTGCTGTGATTAAGGAATAGACAAGAAAATCTTATTCTTCAAAGATCTATTTTAGGACTGAATCGGTATTATTCATGTGGATTTTTCTCCTTACACATCCATTGAATATAATCACTTTCCATACCATTGTTGTTTCATATAAGGAAAAGACAAAGCTAAAACCATGAACAAGACTTTTAATTCTACTTTATATTGTATTTCAAAAGCTGCCATTTGCTATTGTTAAGCTTCTTGTCCTAAAATATATCAGAACGTAAAAAATAATACAGGCTGTTGACCTTCAAAATAGATAACTTACTTCCTGTGCAAGAAATAATTTTAGTCAACTGGGTAACACAAAAAGGGAGCAGCAACACTCTACCTCTCCCACTGCCTGCATTCGATAGTCTTGGGCCGCTTTCCTCACCCTGGGGAGGTCGATGGCAATGGGCAGAAGAAGGAAGAAACGAGGGCCAAGTTGGTTGGTGTCAGTTGCAGTTTATTCCACTCTCCTCTCCATTCTTCTCTGATTCTCCTCCTGCTTCTTCCTCCCCCATGCTAATTCATTCACCTCCTTGATTCCTCTTCAATTTCTTTCTGCCTCCTCTGGAATTTGGATCCCCCAGCCCCCTCTTACAGTCTAGTTAAATTCCAAAACCATGAGGGGTTGGAACTTACACATAGGTGTGGTCACAATAAATAGGGGTAAAGTTCTTTCCCTCAGGAGATGCTTCAAGGACAGATACTCTCTCATCATCAGGACAACCCACCCTAGAGTGGAATTCTGTGGGTGTATTTCTCCTCTCCTTGTCCAACAACATATAAGCATTCATAATATTAATCATTTTGTATGGACACAGTAAGAGATAGATTACGCTTATAGAATTGCTTCTCCTGAGGTCATCTCGATATCAGACTAGAGTGCTCAGGGCAGTTTAGTCTTTCCTATCCTTTTCCTATCCCTAGCAGTCTCTGTCTCCTGCCCCCAATGCCTGGGTGTCCTGGCGCCATGTAATCCCATCAACGGCCAAGACCCAGAGACTACAAATCCCAGCTCCAGGAAGAGAACAGCACAGAGTCTCCTGCCCCTGTGCCTGGCTGTCCTCACCAGGGCCCCTTGGAGGGTGGGCAGGTTGATTTTCCCTACCCCACCCTGAGCAGAGCTCTGGCAGCCGAAGACCTCCAGAATCAGCCAGAACCATTCTGAGACCATTCTCCAGTCGCATGAAGGTACCGGCAGAGGAACAAAGGCATGTGGGTCCTGGGGCTGAGGTCTCCGAGCCTGCACGGATAGGGGCTGAATATCCTCCACCCAGATCCTCAATCTTCCAGTAGGCAGGGGTCACACTCACCAACTGAGCCCCTGGCGTTGTGTAATCCCATCAACGGCCAAGATCCAGAGAGTACAAAACCCAGCTCTGGAAGCCTGTGTCCACATTTGCGGCTACGCTATATCTTATTACCTCATTCTTTCTTTTGGACAACCTGGCAGGCTACCAAATGTAAACTGCCCACATGGCAGAGTCTGGGAAACTCCCTGTGGTGTACCCAATATGCCAAATACCAGTAACAATGATAGGTTTCATTCTCCTAGTCCTGAAAGAGCCTTGAATATGGCACTTTAAAATCTCAGGGCTAGGACGAAGAAGACGTTACTAGTCCCTGCTCAAGGCAATTGACGACTAACAGGATGATTGTGATCATGATCATGATCCCTAGCAGGATATTAATCTCATCGTTACTTTTGGATCATGACAGATTTGTCAGGGACCATGCTCTCAACTTATAGTTGAGTATCGTGGCACTTTAGCTTGACCCATTTTGATGCCAGGGTAGCTCACAGTTTGCCCTGGGTCCATTCAGTCCCTTTTCAGGACCCTGCTTTTCTGGTGGTAGGAACTAAGGGCAAATGAGGCTTAAGTCGAGAAAGCAGACGCCCAGGAGTGAATAATATTCGAAACCAATTAAATCCCAAGTTACAAAAGCATAGTATTAACTGTCTTCCTGTGTCTATACAAAAAGGACATTGCTTTACAGTAAACTATTTAAAAGACATGAGGAGAGGAGAAAGGCAACAAAAGTTTGCAATAAAAGTTCAGAGTC